ATCGTAAAACCTGAGGCCAGATCGACCGCGTTCAGGTAGATCAGCTGGTTGCCCGCGTAGTCGGCCAGGGTACAGAGGTCCACTCCGATGGGGTCGTTGAGATCCCTGTCCGGTCTGATTCTGCCCAGCAGGTGTGGTAGTGGCCGTTGATGTGCGGCGCAGACCTCGCAGTAGAGGTTGAGGGCCATCTCCATGGATCTCGGCGATCCGCCTGTCACGTGGATAGCTCGGGCAAACGAGTCGTTGGACGGGTGCCCCGTGTTCACGGGGAGCTGCGTCGCGGCGGACCTGGGCGCCCGCTCCTCCGCGGCGGTGAGCATTGGTTCCTGTGCGGCTGCGGCGGCCGGAACCGTCCTCCTGCTCGCCCTTCGTGCTGTAGGGTGTGCTTCGCGTAGGGGTCGGCGGTTTGGTCGCTGCAGTTGTCCGGCCAACACTTGCGCGAGCCTGTGCGTGTAGTGCTCGCTGTTCTTCGCGATCTTGCCGCGAGCCTCGGCGTGGGGATGCGACCCGTCGCAGAACCTCCTGAGCGAGTCGTCGAATACCGTAGTGGTCGGTGACGATCCTTCGCGGTTTCTTGATGTGGACGCCCTCCTTCGTCTTGGGGTCGAACGCGCGGCCGTCGAAGTCTATGGCTCGCGGGAGCTGCTCCTTCAGCTGCTTGGCTGTCGAGTTCTTGTTGGGGTCCCATCCGTCGCAGCACCTCGGCCACTCGAACGAGACGGCGAGCTGGGCGCCGAACTCTCTGCGCAGCCAGGACATGGACTGCAGGAACAGTCCGATCGTGAGCTTGGACTTTGCCCGATCCTTCTTGAGCTGCGGGGTCTTACTCGGGTCGATCTTCACGACAAGTCGCTGTGGTGAGGTCCACGGCTGGCAAGGAAGTGCAACGTGAACTCGCGCATTTTACCGCTGGCTAGGTTGGACCTGACCCTGCCCTCCAGTTTGTTAACCACGAACCGTTTTGAGAGGTCGTAGCCTGGAAGACCGCATCTGACAGCAGCTCCTCCCTTCTTCCTCCAGGTGGCACTGAGCTGGCTGTCCGGGTTGCAGCGCGCTCGTAAAGCACGGTGTTGCTCGTCGTGGATGTCGGGCTGGATCTGGTAGTAGAGCTCGCCAGGTTGGTGACCAAGGCCTGGAGTATTCGACGCGACTGGATGCCGCTCTTTCTGGTGACGAAAGCCGAACGCTTGCTTGCGATCAGCTGCGGCTTCGTCCCCATCTTGAGCGTCCGCGCGCGTGGCTGCTCCTGCTCCGCGACGTTGGCCCCGGGTCCGGGACTGGCGTTGTGATGCCATTAATTCCCTGGTCGTTGCCCAGAGTCACGGGCGTGCCGAAGACGCAGTCTGGTCAGAAACCATGGTGGCTGCAGACCTCGTAGGCCTTCTCGCCGCAGGCGACGCAGTCCTGCAGCGGCGCGGTCACGCGCGTCGTTGGGGAGGTGATCTGCGGCAGCGTCGTCAACGTGAGGCTCGGAGCTGGCGCTGCGGTGGAGCAGCAAACCAGAGCTGAAGCCACGGCAGACAAACGCCGTGACCCTTTCGGCCGACGAGGCTGGAATCGCCTCGGGACGATTAGCTCCTTTTTCGTGACGAGCTTGTTGATCGTATCGATCAGCGTGCCGGTCTTGATCGTATCGTTGACCGTAGGTTTGTCGCTTACCTTCGGTCGGCTGGCTGGCTTGGCAGGTCGCTCCATGCCAGCGTCATTATGGCCTGTCCCAGTCCTCTGGCTGCAACTTGATCGCGGGGTGGCCCGCGGCGCTCGTCATGAGCTTGTGGGTGGAGTTCCCGATGCGGATCTGGCCCTTCCAGAGAGAGATGTCGATCTTGGAAGGCTGTATGAGGAGGCCAAGCGCGGGGCTGTCCACGACGCGGAACGCGATGCGGCCGGCCTGGTCGCAGAGCACGAGCGGCGCGGCGACGCGCAGCTTGCTCGTGAGAGTGCCTCCGTTGCCGAACCTGTAGATCTCGTCCTCGTGCCCCTCGAGGATCTGGTCGGCGAGGCCCATCCTGGTGAGGATGTCCTTGCAGATGTCGTGCCACTTCTTGCCCGAGACGCAGAAAAGACAGGCGGTATCCACCGCGCCGATGCCTTCGCCCGTGGGCTCCCCGCCGCCGATCGCGACGCTCACGTTCTGCAGGTGGTGAATCAGCTGCTCTGAGACGCAGGCCTCGGGAGGCGGCGACGCAGGTCCTTGCGGGTGAAGGGCGATTTCCTCGTCCGCGAACTGGACCTGCTCGGCGATGCGCGCCTGGCGCTGCGGGCGACCTCCTCGGCGCCCCCGACCACCGCCCTTGGACTTGCCGTCCTCGGGCGCGAACTTGCAAGCACCCGGCGTGGGGCGCTCCTTGTCTCCCGTCAAGTGCCCGGTCTCGCCGCAGTCCCAGCGCTGCGACGTCTGCTTGCGCTGGTCGACCCGGCTCTGGAGCTTGACCGGGCGGCGAGACGGCGCGGGCCTGTTCGACTTGCCGCGGCCTCTCAGGGCCTCCCAGGCTTACCTGATGGTGGCCATGGCCTCGGGACTGGCGGCAAGCTCCGCCGCGGCGGCCTCGACCTTGGCGGAGCCGTCGCCGTCGAACAGCTCGGAGATGTCCGCGTTGGAGGACTCGAGCTCGGCGCTGAAGCCCTCGAGCTCCTGGCGAACGATGTCCTGCACGTCGGCCTCGTCATCGTCGCCCCCCTCTTGCTCTTCGTCGCCCTCGTCGGCGGGCTCGTCGACGACGTTAGTGGAGCGCCCTCCGCGGCCGAAGGAAGCGCTGCTGCGCCAGCCGCCATGGGGGCGCGACTGGTTGTTCCGCGGCCTCGGCGTCGGCGGGGCGCGGCGCTCGGAATTGTGGATGTCTGGATGCGTCCGCGCCAGCAGTCCACGGACGTGCTGGTAGCCGTAGTGTTCGTCGGGCAGGTTGCCCACGACGCGCTCGCGGCGCTCGGCCGTGGGGCCGGCCTTTCGCGGCAGGAACCATCCCGCCGCGTTGTCCAGCGCGTTGAGGTCCACTTCGTTCTTGCGTAGCTGCTGTGGACCGGTCTCGAGGCGGATGAGCCAGTCCGTCATTCGTTCACCTCGCCGTCGGTGATGCTGGGTAGGTTCGGACAACTTCTCGAGGATCTCGCCCTTCTGCGCGTTGTTCTGCTGGCCCAGGTTCGCCTCCGAATGCTGTGAAACATTCTCGATGCCGACCTGATTCCTGTTGCGCTTCTTCTCGTCGGCGTCCTCGATGTCTGCTGCAGCTGGCGGGTGCAGCTGCTCCTCCGTCATATTCAATGCTGCGCTTTTTGCTGTCCCGCTGAGCCCGAGCACGAGCTTCGACGCGAGACTCTGCTTTTTGAAAGGTTCTCGCTGAGCGTCCACAGCTTCACCTCCTGCTTGTAGTCTCTCCACTTCGAGGGATTTCCGTTCCATGTAGGTATAATTGACTGTCCGAAATTGTTAGACATGTCCGTCGTCTTTGCGAAGGGGTAGACGTAAAAAATCGGAGTGAGGGAAGTCGAACTCTGTGGCTTCGCTGAAGTCCTGGGAGTAAAGGAAATCGAACTCGGCGGCGTCGCTGAAGCTCTGAGGGGACGAGAAATCGAACTCGGCGGCGTCGCTGAAGTTCTGAGGGGACGAGAAATCGAACTCGGCGGCATCGCTGAAGCTCTGAGGGTACGAGAAAATGAATTCGGCGGCGTCGCTGAAGTTCTGGGAGTAGGCGCAGGCGTAGGTGCTGGCGTCGCTGACGCTGGCGTAGGAGTTGGCGTTGAAGGCGTAGTAGGTGTGAGTGCTGGCGTCGCTGACGCTGGCGTAGGAGTTGGCAGGGTAGGCGTAGTAGGCGTGAGTGCTGGCGTCGCTGACGCTGGCGTAGGCGCTGAGCAACAGCGCGAGGAAGCCGCTGGGCTTCGATTCCAATATGGATAGACGTGTCGCAGACGCCGTCGTTGCATTATGTACGGCCCCGCGGGCCGGGATAGCGAACCTCGCTCCGCTACCATTGTGATATGGAAAAGTATCGCTGGTCATGCTTTTCTCTCGCTCTGCGCGGCAGAGGACGTAGCTCAAGTAGCCAAGAGCCCTGGAAAATGATTAGAGCCAAACGGGCTGCGGCAGAGAGAACCTGGACAGCTGAGCAGCAGCGGCAGAGGGCGAGTGAGAAGAGCAGCGAGTCTTCTGGAATCTCACCCAGTACTCTCGGAGGCGTGTGCTCGAGGGGCGACAGGAGGCTGTCATATGTGAGTCGAGCGGCTTCAGATGTACAGCGTGCGTTGACGGTTGGAGGAACGGCCCGAACGCCGTCACATGCCATATTTCGGCTGTCTCTTGGGCCTTGGGTCCTTTTTGGCCGTCTGGGAGGTTTGTTGAGGCCGTCGCGGGGCCGTCGCGCGCCGTCGATGGGGCCCTGTCAGGCCGTCATGAGGGTCTCCGGAGGCCTTCTAGGGCAGCTCAGGGCTTTCTGGTGTGCCGCCTTGCGCTGTGTATGGGCCATCTTGGGCCGTCTTGAGCCCGTTTTGGAGGGTGGTTGGGCCTTTCTGGGGGTCTATCGGGGCCATCTTGGAGGTCTCCAGGGCAGCTCCCTTGCCGTTGCCGTTGTCCGTGCCAGCCCTCTTCCGTCTGCCCCATCCCCCGTCCCCCTCCTCCCCCTCCCGCTTCCCCCACCCCTTGCCCCCCCTTGCCCCTCTGTTTCCCCCTTCTTTCTGCGCCCTCCCCCTCGCCAGCCGCCCCTCCTTCAGGAGGACAAGAAACATACAGACACAAATAATCGTCGATTCCCAGAAACACGGAAAATGTGGGAAGTGAGGGGAAAATGAGAGCACAGAAAACGGGGGAAAATATCGGGAGTCCAAGGATTTGTGTCTCTTTGTTTGTCTGTCCCTGGGCCCATTCACCCCTCCCCCCCATCTGCCGCTCCTCCCCTCGCTCCCGCCCCCCCCTGCCGCTCCCGCCCTCGCTCGCTCCGCCTCCTCCTGCGTCCGCGAGCGACGGCGACCGACCGACGGCCGGTTGCCTCCCCCTTGCCGCGCGCCAGCGTGGCCTCGTACGCGGGCGTGCAGCTGAGCATCATGAGGCACCCGGGCCGCGCCCACAACATCGCCTTTACGGGGTCCGGTCCAGAGGATGCGGAGGACTTTGACGATGATGATGACGATGATGACGATGCTGATGATGCTGCTGATGATGATGATGATGATGAGGACTATGACGATGATGATGGCGATGATGATGATGATGATGATGATGATGATGATGATGATGATGATGATGATGCTTATGATGATGATGATGATAACGATGATGATGATGATGATGATGATGATGATGATGATGATGATGATGATGATGAGGGCGATGGTGATGGTGATGGTGGTGATGATGGTGATGAGGATGATGAGGATGGTGAGGTTGAGGATAATGAGGATGAGGATGCTGCTGATGATAATGATGATGATGATGATGAGGATTATGATCATGGAGATAATGATAATAATGATGTTGATGAGGATGATGATGATGATGATGATGATGATGATGATGATGGTGATGATGATGATGATGATGATGATGGTGATGATGAAGGTGAAGGTGATAGTGATCATGATGAGGCTGATGATGAGGATGACGATGATAGTGGTGGTGGTGGGTGTGATGACGGTGGTGGTGGTGAATGATGATGAGGATGATGATGATGGTGATGATGAGGATGATGATAATGTTGGGGATGGTGGTGCTGATGACGATGATGCTAACGATGATGATGCTGATGATGAGGAAGAGGATTAGGATGAGGATGATGATGAGGATGATGATGATGAGATGAAACATAAGGATGAGGTGGTTGATGCTGATGTTGGTGATGGTGACGATGATGAGGATGGTGATGTATGTGATGGTAGTGATGTTGACGTTCGTGGTGAATGATGATGATCATATTGATGAGGATGATGATGATGCTGATGAGGATGATGATGGGGATGAGGACGTTGATGGTGATGTTGATGATGATGACGATGATGATGCTAACAATGATGATAATGATGATGATGGTGGTGGTGATGATGAAGACGATGATGAGGATGACGGTGCTGATGAGGATGTGGATGATGATGATGAGGATGAGTATGAGGATGAGGATGATGATGCTGATGATGATCATGACGATGATGCTGATGAGGATAAGGATGATGATGAGGATGATGGTCATGATGATGATGAGGATGAGGATGAGGATGATGATGAGGATACTGATGTGATGGTGATGGTAGTTTTGATGAAGGTGATGATGATATGGATGATGGTGGTAAATGATGTTGGTGGTGGTGATGACGGTGGTGGTTGTGAATGATGATGCTGCTGATGATCATAACGATGATGATGATGATGATGCTGATGGTGATGATGATGATGATGATGATGATGATGATGATGATGGATGATAGTGGTGATGATGCTGATGATGAAAGTGATGATGATGCTGATGATGATGACGACGATGATGCTGATGGGGATGAGGACAATGCTGATGATGATGAGTATGATGAAGAGGATGAGGATTTTGATGATGATAAGGATGATGATGCCGATGCTGATGATGACGATAAGATCATCATGCTGAAAATGATGATGTTGATGATGGTGATGATGATGATGATGATGATGATGACTATGATGATGATGGTGTTGGTGGTGTTGGTGATGACTGTTGTGGTGGTGAATGGTGATGATGCTGCTGACGATGCTGACGATAACGAGGATGGGGATGAGGTTGATGATGATTATGATGATGATGAGGACGATGAGGATGCTGATGAGGATGATTATGCTGAAGATTATGATGATGAGGATCATGATGGTGATGGCCATGGTGATGCTGCTGCTGATGATTCTGATGATGAACATGATATGAATGATGGTGTTGATGAGGGTGCTGATGATGATGATGCTGATGATGATGATGATGATGATGATGATGATGATGGTGATGATGATGATGATGATGATGATGATGATGATGATGATGATGATGATGATGATGATGATGATGATGATTATGAGGATGAGGATTAGCATGGTGGTGGTGGTGATGGTGGTGGTGGTGGATGCGGCGTAAGTCATAAACGATTGTGGCCTCGGGGGCGCGAATCTGCTCTATGCTTACGTGTCCCCGGGCACTCCCCAAAATTCAGAGTACGTGATTCCGACGTGGTATTTGGGCGTTTTTTCTGGCCAGGGTCTCTGCGCGGATTCTAATCATTACATCATTGGTGCCATCAACTTTTCAGTTGTAGCCATTGGAAAACTTCGCACTGGAATTGTTGCAGGAAGCAGGACAGCGTAGTCCACGCATCCTGTTGGCCCCCAAGAGGCCACTGAATTTATATCAGGGATCGCGCCTTCCACCCCAGCAGCCGCACTAGCACTGAGTGCGCCTCTAGGGAGGCCGCCCCGAATCCTTCGCCCCCTTGAGCGCGGGAACCAATTTAAACCTTCACGGGGGAACTTCGATAACATGTTTTTCACCACAGTAGTTTCACGCGCCCTTCTGGGCTGTAATGAAGCACGGTTCGCAATTCGAGCAGGATCAGTCAGCTAGAAGCCTGGCGATAGGAACATGATGTGAGCAACGTGCTTTAGGCAGTACATTTCAGAGCTCATTTTTGTATACAATTTCCTGGCCTGCCACGCCGATCGTAAACAGTTAATCGTTGTTCATCACAATATTCTGCAGTAAAGCTCTACGATAACGTCGCGCGCACTGGTTTGTTGGATCGCATTGTGGCTTGCATCTCGGGCGACTTTGCCCCATGTGCGATGTCTATGAACCGCCGCGTCGAAAATGGTACGTGCGAGCGAGCACAAGCAACGTCATACAATCTTATGGGAATCTCGTTGTGGGATGCTCTCGTGTGCGACAGGGGTATTTCGTGGATCGTGACTTCAGTCCTTCGAGAGCTTTCGGTCGAGATTCCCGCTGCAGGTTTATCAATGTGTTTGACCACCTCACTTCGCACATCGGGTGGGATACTGAAGCTTCTTTGCATGCAGAAGGCACGGCAGATGATATCAGCGAACCAGGCTGACGACCGCATGACATATGATGCTAGCTCATTGCCTTGCCATCCAGCAAGAAGGCTGGTCATTGGGATACTCGCATACGGCTCGTTCACCTAGGAATATGGGCGGTCACGCCAAAAGCGGGCAAGGGGAGGAGGATGAGACGATCTCGATGCAGATGATGATGGTCGCGATGACGATGAATAGTATTGATTTTGACGATGTTGCCGATGACGATGATGGCCATGCTGAGGATAACGATCCCGATGATGATGACGACGACGATGATGAGGATGATGCTGCTGCTGATGATGATGCTGATGGTGACGACGATGAAGCTGATGATACTGATTATGCTGATGGTGGTGGTGGCGATAATGATGATTGTGCTGATGGTGGCGATGATGAAGCTGATGATAATGATTATGCTGATTGCGGTGGTGGTTATCAAGAACTTAATGACGAGGATGACAAGAGCGAGGATGACGACGACGACATGATGTTGGTGAAGGTGGCGGTGTTGACGATGATGATGATGCTTCTGCTGGTGGTGGTGATTGTGGTGATCATGATGGTGATGGTGATAATGATGACGATGATGATGATGATGCTGATTCTGATGATGATGCTGATGATGGTGACAATGGCGATGGTGATGCTGGTGATGCCGATGACGATGATGATGCTGATGACGAGTATGGTGATGTTGCTGGTGATATGATTGTGATGACGATGACGATGATCATGTTGATGCTTCTGATGATGATGCTGCTGATTATTATCATTATTATTCTCTCATGTTTATGAAGATGATGCTGATGATGCTGATGATGATGATGATGATGATGATGATGATGATGATGAGGCGTGGCTCGAGGAAGCCCAGAGTTTCGGAAAAGACCGATTTGGAGATGATCTGAATGAACCGCCAGTCCAACAACACCGGTTACAAGCGTTGCAGGCACAGCGGGCGAGTCGCATTTTGGGCGGAATTCGGAAACAGAAGATGACTTTATCTGATGTTTTGCAGGGGAGGTCCAAATTCAAGCTGAAGAGCGAGCTGGGCATAGATGGGGCCACGCCAGACTTGTTCAAGACGCTCCCATATGTCGTGGCAGGCAGGGTCTGGCAGCTTTTCGTGCAGCGTCAATCTGGGATTTCGCAAGACGACCCTCCGAGTTGGAAGTCGACACTCTTCGTGGGGATCCCCAAAACCAAGAATGCCACCACGCTCCAACTCTTCAGGTGGATTGGTCTTCTGGCTGTGTTTCTCAAGTGGTACCTTCAAAGCTTATGCAGAGGCACGACCGGTTCAACCACGGAGTGGAAGGCTCGGGCCAATGAGTTCGTCCGCGCCATATGTGGGGATTGGGCGCTGCCGTCGCGGCGCGCTACACCAACGTGCCCTGCCAGATCGCGGTCGTCGCCGGCAGTGCGCCCAGGCCGCGCCGAACGACCCGGGTCGTGGCAAGAGGTGGCACGAGGCTTCGTTTTCAAGGAAGGTTTGGCTAGCTTTGGCGACAGAATCCTTTTCGCGGTGGATTGCCAGCCTCTGCGGCGGATCGTGTGCGGACACATGCCTCTGCGAGGCGACGAATTTCGACTTTTGTTTACGAGGGTTACACAGACAATCATCGACGTCGTGGGCTCCGGGCGGCTTCCGCCGAACGGCCGGGGCGACCCTGTCAAGTGGATGGGCAGGGGCCGCAATGCTCTCGCAGATTATTTGTGCAACTTCACCATGGACAGGCGATCGTCTAGGCAGGAGGTCCGCCAACCAGCGGGTGTCATGCCGCCCGGAGCCAATCTATTGGCATTCTCTGACGGAGGCACTCGCAGGGATTGTTCAGCCAGTGCGTGGGCGCTTGGAGCCGTGACGGATGCGAAATTGTGGCGGTGGCTGGCGTTTATCACGAGCCGCCCATGCATTCCCTCATGGCGGAGGCCATCGCTCTGGAAAGCGCCATGGGCGAACTCCAGGCGAGGGCTGGCGAATGCCGGTGATCTGATGAGTGG